TATAAACACACACACCAGAGGGAGTGTTTTCAGCACAAGTACAGGGGTAAGGCATGTTCAGTCAGTTTCAGGTAATGATAAGCATCTGTCGTGTAGAATTTGAAGATAATATTTGGGGGTGGTGGGCAGGTGGAGCAGAGGGGTTTTATGAGATGGCCTGAGTTTATAGCAACAGAATGTATTAAAGACCAGAGGTGGGAAGCATGTAGAGGGACTGAAAGCAGGGACATGTATTGAGTCAAGTGGGTTGTCTAAGAATTCTGTAAAAACTTACCCAGAAGTGTGTCTTGGTTCACAGTACCTTTAATATTCAGTGATTTTTGTGTCCTTGCACCCAACAAAACACCTAAAAAGTCTTCCCCATTACTTAAGGCCAAGCAACCACTAAAAATTCAACTTGTGAACAACAAATTGCAAAGAAATATCATCATCAAAAGTAGTGGAATGAATGCATATCATTTCAGCACAGCTGTCTTGAGCTCTCAAATATCACTTTTTTCCTCAAAAATGTAAAATGCCTCAAGGTGCGCCTGTGAACGTACTACGGGGGCAGGTCTTAGTGCAATTAGGGAATCTCATACCTGTCAGGCCTATCTGTGTATATTGTTTTAATTAACATTTTTAATGTATAGTTTGTGAACTGTAATAAATACCTAGAGCAACAGACAGCAAACTGGTAATGTCTAAATTTGATGAGAAACTTAGGATTTTCAAGTTTTATGTTGTAAATATAAATATAAAAATAAATGTACATTTATTTATGTAATTTACTTATATCTGTCACATTTACATTAAAAGAAAATGTTTTCAAGGAAACAGGGTATTCATACTGTCATGCCTCCCTTAACCTGGCTAACGCAACTCCTAACAATGTTCTAACTGGTGTAGCTGACATGAATTTCTAGGCATGTAAGATAACCCTATTTTGGATTGTAACTAGAGTAAATGTCTGTTGTCATCAATCACTTGGAAATAAGAAAAATATAGAAATTACTGAAGATTTTGCTGCTCTGATAACCATTGTTTAATTCCCTTCCAATATCCCTTCTCCGTCTTTTCTCTCTTGCTTATCTCCCATCCATTCCGTACATTGCTGGCAGTGTAATCTTTACAAAGTGTAAACTAGCTCACTTAAAAATTTTCTCATTTTTCACTAGAGTATGAGTTCCCCAAATGCAATGTCTGTCTAGTTCACCTCCTCAGCTCTTGGTGTGGGGCTGCTCTACCGTAGTGAGGAGTTAGTGATTCCAGGTCAGAATGCTATGTGTACTTTCATTTTAGCCACCATGGGCAGTTACAAAGTCTGCCTGTTACACTTCATGGGGGAACCTTCCTTCCGGACAATCAGACAGGGTCACAGCCATTGAATTGCAGTTTCTGGCCCCTGACCAGCTATACTCTTCTTCTTTAAGATTTATTTATAGATGTAAGAACTGGGGTATAAGCCAGAGGTGCAGGGGGTAAGAGGATTCACCAGAGACAGAGTGGGGAGCAGAACAGGCTCAACTGAAATACCCTGCTGAGGAGAGCAGGAGCGGTCTGCCACGCCATGTGGGTCACCTCCCTGACCGGGGATCAAACTCATGCTGCAGTGGCTGTGGATAGCTTCATAGTGCTGTTGTGCTTTGTGGCGATGTGCCACCAGGGAGGGCCCAATAAATAAACCTTAAAAAAAAGAAAAGATAAAACAGAGTAAGAAATTTTGAAATTTCCTGTTCCACTTTACAGAAGCAATCTGCTGTTGAAATTTGTTTTGTGGTGTGTGAATTCTATTAATAGGTCTAAGACTTCAAATTACAAACTACTTTCACTTAATATTCATTGTGGACATCTGTACATGTGAGTACTGAACTAGATCTCTAAGGTGAACTCTAGATTTTCATTATTTCCACTTTATATATACCTTTTATTTAAAAGAGCATCTTCCAACTCAAAAGATGCCTGAGTTTTACTGGTTACACTATAATTTGCCAAAATTTTTCACTATTTAACATTAGTCAAATGATACTTATTTGCTTTTATGTTTTTGCTGTTGAGCATAATTTTTATGTTGTTTAGGCATTAAGTTTTTTTCTCTGTGAATTATCTATTCATGTCTTCTCATTACTCACATATTGTAAGTAATCCATTTCTGTTTCAGATGACATCCTTATTAAGGATTTCATAACCTTGCAGTTAGAAAATTAGTTCAGAAATTAACTAGTGTGTTTTATTTTATTAGCAAAGAAAATCATTGAAACAATGAGCTCTTCAAAGCCCTCAAATGTAGAATTAAGTAAAGAAAATGTGTCTCGGCCAAAACGGACCAAACGGAAATTATATACAAATGAAATTTCTTCTCCTATTGATATATCTGGCCAAGTGGTAAGCTACTATTTCAGTTTCCTTAAATGTAAAAACATCCTTGTTATTAATTCTGAATGAATTCTTAATGTCACTATGAATTTCATAATATTTTAAATTTTTATTTCTTAACTTAAATCTCTTAAAACATGTTTTAAGGGCTATACTTTTGACATCAGATGTGTAAATTTATAATGATTAAATATAAATGCTGCATTAATGCATAAAGTGAGATATGTATTTACATTTGTGAATTCATCAGAGAAATTTGGTTCCATCAGTAGAACTGTTAGTTAGATATATATGTGTGTTTCCAGTACCTATTGAAGTTGTTATCACAAGAATTGTGGAATCTGGGCCTCAGTGTGTCTGGTAAAAATGTAGACATTCAGTTGTTTCCTCATTCCTCTACGCCTTCCTGGTTCTGTTAAGAAAATATTGTAGTTTGTCACCCAGCCTCTTATGATTCATTCTCCTCATTCAGAATAAACTATGCTTTTACAGGGAGAGTTCTAATTTTCTATCATTCTGACATTACCTAATAGATCAAAATAAAGATAGAAAAGTATTGAAGGAAAAGCTAGGCACTTGTTGGCTGCAAAAGATCATTTCACACACTTGTCTCCAAATATCTCAGTAATTATTTCAAACTATGCATGTCCTTAATTAAATACAGAGTATGGGTTATTTATTGTAGAATTAGGTAGTTTGAAAGAATCTTTACTGAAGATATACTTTTATACAGAAGATACTATACCTGCAGCTAGGAAGACAAAAAATATCTTTAAAAAAAAAAAAGATTTATTCATACAATCCAGGGTACAGGCCAGAGGTTCAGGGGCGGTGAGAGGCTTCACCAGAGACAGGGTAGGGAGCAGAAGAGGCCGACTGACAAAGCACGCTGCTGAGGGCAGCAGAGGGCAGGATAGGAGAGGTCTGCTGGGCCCTGTGCATGGGCCACCTCCCTGGCAGGGATGGAACTCGGGCTGAAGCTGCTGCATCTGGCTTCACAGTGCTGTGCTTCAACCCGTTGTGCCACTGTGGAGGGCCCACACGCTCAAAAAAATCTTAGAATGCAATTTTTTTTCAGATATTAAGCATATGAACATATTTTGATATAAAAAAAGCTTCATTTTCTTTCATTTATAATTTTTATAAATTTTGTTAATTTCAGATTGTGATTGACCAGAAAGTAAAGGAAAGTGATCATCAAATTCTCAAACGAAGGCTTCGAACTAAAACAGCCAAGTAAATAACTTATGGAGAATATTGTAATACACACTAGATATTCATAATCACTGTAACTTGAATCTTGACTTTTTAAAAGTTAATTGTGTATATATATCTTAAACCCTTTTGTATACTCATCACTATTTTATAATAAATAGTATAATTTTAATTCAATAAAGAAAATAAGCCCAAATAAACTTGCCTCCTTTTTAATAATTTCTTTTCAAACTGTGCACATCTTCTGTTCACCCAAGCATAGGAAAGATGCTTTTGTTTTTGCTGTTCTACACATAGATGTCCTTGATGAGATACTTAGTTTAACAATATCTTGTGAATTGTCGCTACATTTGTTGGAAAATACAACTGACTTGATAGGAGTTGGTTGTTTGGTTTCTCCAAGACGCAGAAGATCAGAAAGCTAAGAAAAGGAGATTGCAACTAGAGGCCAAAACACAGAAAACCAAAAAAAAAAGGTAGAATTTTGGACTTGGAGGGAATTTAGAAATGCATTTTGTTCATTTTATAAATGAGAAAGCTTATTTATAAACTCAAGTTAATTTCTCAGGATCTTACAGCTGAATTCTATAAATCTATTTAAAAAAAAAAAAAGGCCTTCAAGAATTGTTGCTAGCTGGGATTTCTAACCTAAGAGCATACATTTAAATAAAGCTTTAAACATGTCATTGGCTTTCAGCACTATTTTAATGATGTGCTGAGTCAGGAAGATACATTGTTTATATATTTTTTAGGAAACATATTTAGGGACAATTTCTGTCAAAATAGTTAATTAAAATTTAACCACTTTAAGCACTAAAATGTTTTTATTGTGCAAACTAGTTTCATTATGCAAACTATATACAGAATTGATCTTCATTATTCATGAATCATTATTTGAAAATTTGCTTATTTGCTAAAGTGTATTTGTAAGTCCAAAGTCCATACTTTTTGCACTTTATGGTCATTCTCAGACAAATACAGGTTAAAAAAAATTAAGTCACCCAACATGCATGTTTCAGCTAAGGGGGAAACAACATGATGCTGTTTTATCTCTGCTCTCCTACTGCAAACAAGTGTCCACATCCCAGGATATAGACTGAAGTCAAGTCCCAACAAGATCTACAAGGGAGACTGTTTACTATATTAGAAAGGATCTTGAGTTTTCCACAGATTATTCTAAGAAAGCATAAAACCATGCCAAACTAAACCATTAAAGCCAGTAATCAAAATGCCTACCTGAACAAAACTATTCAGAGGAAAGATAAACTGCAGATTCTCTTTTATAATGTGGTAGTAATGTGGTAGTAAACTCACACAGGGAGTCTGGGTTAGAAGGGGTTAGCACAGCCATGGACCCAGCTATAGAAACCAAGATCCTTGGGCACCAATGCCTAGGTCACAAAGCATAAGGTCAAAGCAGGTAGCAGACTGCAGTAGGCTGTGTCTATCACAGAACCAAAAGGTGAAAGATAAAGGTATGGAGATGGAGTCCATGGTGGGATCTCCTGTCCCCTTCAGATTCTATATATCAGTGCAGTGTCTGCACCAGCACAGCACGCAGCAGCAGTCCTCTGCCCACCTGTGCCTACCCAGGGGCTTCTTTCCACCCTCTCTCCCTCTGCAGGGCAGCAGCCTCCTGCCTGCCCATGTCCTGTACCTGCCGGGACTTCTCTGCACTGACCTCCCTCAGGGGAGGCCTCTCTCCTAAAGCCACTCACCAGCAACCATGCAGGCCTCTCAGCAAGCCTGTCCCTTCGGGGGCAGCTCTCTCTGCCCACTGTGCCTATACAAGTAACCAATAGTCCTGTCCTTTCTCCTAATAAACCTGCTAATTAAATATAACTGAGTGTCTTACGGAGAAACTCACCTGGGAATTCGCTGCGTGCCGCTAGAAGGGGAACTCTAGTGAAAACTTTCCCAGAGTGAACCCAAGGACCCTAACACTAACTCCAAAAAACAGTATCAGTAGAATAACACAAAATTGCTGCAAGTGCAAAAAAACAGGTAAAGGGGGAAAAAATCAGTAAAGTAAAACTTCACATAGCCCAGGTATTGTATTTTGCAAAAACTTAAAAGCAGTTATTAGTGCTGCTTCGAGGACTTAAGTAAATGTCATTTCAGTAGGTAAGGTCATAGGGAGACTCCACAGAGAAATGGAAAGTATAAAGGAAGTCAGAATTGTTCAAACAGAAAACAAATGAAATTTATATTTAACTGCAGTTAGATGTCTCAGGGAAAAAAGCACAGTGAACTTGAAAACAAATCAACAGGTCTATTGAGAAAAAAGGTGGAAGAACAGTCTCAAGGTCCTATGGAACAACATCAAACAGACTGAACACATGTAGTGAGGGAGCTAGAAGGAAAAGTATGAAAATAGGTCAGAAAAAATATTTGTGTATTTTTTAAATATTTATTTATCCATACCTAACTGGGGTACAGACCAGAGTTGCAAAGGCAGCAACTGGATTTACTTACCAGAGACAGAATGAGTAGCAGAACAGGCAGATTGATTAATCAGAGCTGAGAGCGCTACAGGGCAGGGAGAGGGGCACCCCAGGACCCCCAAACCTGCACGCTCTAAGTAGGTTCTGCCATCTGCCACATCAAGATAAAACATAAAAGCTATAATGGAACTTGGATGGAGCTGGAAAAGATAATGCTTAGTGAGATAAGTCAGAAAGAGAAAAATACCGGATGGTTTCACCCATAGCAGGAGTATAAGGGACCAGGCGAGAAAATAACAAGAATAATGAACAACCATATACCAGAGACATTTTGTGAGGGTTGGAGTGGGGAATGGAATCAAAACGGGGGGGTGGAGGGGGAAGGGAAGTACATGGGATTAAGGTGATCGCACACAGGTGACTTGGTGATGGGAAACCCGCGGGGATTACAATTGATGGGAAAAAAATGTACAAAATGATGTAAAAATAAACTTTTGTAAAATAAAAAAAAAAGCTATAATGGAAAGGAACTTTAATACAATGAATGTGCAATACAGCAAAGACAAAGAATATAGTTTCTAAATCAAACACCTGAACTTACCCATCCCCCTCGTGGGTTAAAGTCCACCCAAAAGGGATTGGCCCAAAGCGAGGCCTGAAAGCCCGGGGCAAGACTAAAGCACCTTCTGGCCTGGACCCATAGACAAGGGCCAGAAATGGCCAGACAAGTCTGGGAGGAAAAGAGCAAAATCAAGATAAACACTGCCATAGTCAACCTCCCCATGGATCTCTCACCCACATCTGCCTTAACCAGTCCAGGGTCAGAAAACAAGCCCGGTTTCTTCCTCACAGGCTTGCTGCTCCATGTGGCTTCCTCAGGTCTCCTCCTCCTTCTCCATCCTGCTTCATTCTCTTCTCTCCTTTTTCTCTGCTCAGCTCCACCCTCCTTCTG